AAAACGAAAGGAACTCGCACAATTTTCTCTCTCTGCAGACAAAAATCTGGGACAAAAATCTCCCTAGTAGAAACTCATGTAATTGGGGGGATTCGAACAAATACAGAAATACAGTTAGAAAAACAATTCAAATTACAACCACTTATCCTCTGTTAGATAAATTCTAATACAAAGAAGAGATTCTGGAGACAGACGTCTCGGTGCTGAACTTAAGCGAACTTGGAAACGTACTCATTAAATCATAATCGTTCTTATCTCCGAGTAATGTGTCGTTGGCCCAATTTTGCAATGTGAAGAAATCACACACATGCGCCCAATAACAAAAATCCTAAACCGAATGGCTTAGAAAGCTCCACGGGCTCACTTCTGGAGAGACCGGTGGATAAAGTTGCTTTTAAGCCGCCAATGCCGTCAATTTAAATCTATTGTTTTGGGGGCCAGGCTCTCTTGAGCTGCAGGCACTTGGCTTCACTGGTGGGATTACAACAGTGAATGCGGCTAAAGGATTTCGCCTTTAGATTTCATCCAAACTTAATGAGTCTTGAAACTCTTAAAAATCCCGCTACAATTACTGCGAAATAATATCAAAGAGAGCCAATCTAATACACTCTGACGCTTAGCTCAAAGGACAAATTGGTCAGCAGACATCATTTTATTGGGGCAATTGCTTATTTTTAAACAATCCCATTTCATTCTCTGAATTGTTCTTGACGAGGAACGTTCAGCCTTACATTTGAACAGCTGACTTTTGATTGAATGAAATAGCGAAGCAAGATGTAAATCATGGTTTTCTAATGTTTTGAAACATTTCCCTTTCCGGGATGAGAGAGTATTTTCCAATAGAAAAAGACATCAAAAGAGAAGGAATACACTTCAGATTCATCTGGAGAAAACCATGAACCAAGAAAAGGAGTCACAAATCAAACGGCGTCCTTTTTCTTAAGAAACCACAAATATGGATTTGCATCTCATACAATTCGAGCATTTTTTTTTCTTAAAACTCGTAGAAAACAGTAAAAGATTTCCGAACTGGCATGTGGAAAGCTCAGGGTTACAATTATTCAAACCAAAGAAATTTGTAGATTTTGGACATGCTAATGAATTATTAACTGAAGTTGCTTCACAGGGGGGAAATTCCTTAAAACAGATAGTGAAGACAAGTCCCCCTTGTTGAAAAATCTTGTTCGTTAATTAATCGAAGTGCCCTGGAACCCTCCCTATCCACGCCGGATTTCTCTCCTCTTTCCGCTATTTGGACGTTTGGTCCGAAATCGACTCGATGGAGAAAGGCTTGTTTCGTTTTATCAACACTTGTTCTGATGCCGGTCGTTTGAGAATTTAAAAGGTACCTTATCTATATAGTTTTGCAGGAAAACGGAGTTCGGTATGTTTTTAAAAAGCCAGGTCTTGTAGTTTTTTCCCCCTCCTCCACCCCCACGTTTCTTTGTAGACGGCTCCCCTGTTACTAAAAGGGAGAGAGAAAGAGAGACGCACAGAGTTCATGGTTCTGCATGAGCCTGTTTCATTAGGAGGCGCCGCGCAGCCCCATCTCTAGACCGCGGGTGCCTGCCGTGCAGCCCTGCAAATCCAGGGAACAAAGGCTTAGTTCCTCTGTTGTAAAGACGGGGTGGTTTAGGCAAGCCGCTTCATCTTCTCAGTCTGGATTAGCATCTTCCAAACAAAATTAGCAAAGCCGCAACCCGCAAACTTGTTAAAGTCATGTGGAAGATTAACGGATGCAACAGCTGAACGTTTAAGACGCCCGTTCCTCTCAAAGCAGCCGTTTGAAGCCCATTTATTTCTTCTAATGGTTCCACAGAGACTTGCACCTCCGCAGAAGCGGGTGTGGAATCCTCGCTGGGTTATGGCTTCAAAAGCATCTTAACGGCGGAGTTGGGCACAGCCTGCCAGCCTGGACTTTGATGAAGCGCATGGGTTGGGGAAAACCAAGAGCCCGACCGCCACAGGAGGGTCCCCCCAAACCCTCGGGGGAAACGCCTCGCCATTGGGCTTTCCGTGACTAAAGGGAACGTGCAGGGCGGACTGAAGACGAAGAAGGAAAGAAGATCCCCTCTGGAGCTTCCCAGCTTCTGGCCGGGAATGGCAGGACAGCGACGGGGCGCTTTGCATGCTGGGAGAAGCGAGGGAGCCGGCGCAGGACTGCAGCGCCCTTCGAGCCCCTGGAGCGCGCTTCCTTCTCACTGCTACGGGATTCCCCTTTGGCTGTTTTGAATCGCGGTCCCGTGGCAACCTTTGTGACATACACCACAGCCGCCTCCACTTCTGACGGGGAATGGGCCAGGTCGTATTCCCCTGACTGGTTTCCGAGCAGCTTTATATTCCGGCCTAATCACCAGGCTGTGGGAAGTTTGCAATTAAACTAAAAAATCTGGTTCCAAGAATTCTGGTTAAAATAGATAAGATTAAAAGGGAATTAAAAATAAATACATAAGAATGGAACCCACAAATTATCTAGTCATTGCTCTGAAATAATTACCTAGCAGAAATAAGAGGTTCAAAAGTCTAGGCCAATGGTAGTCAACCAGGTCCCTACTGCCCACTAGTGGGTGTTTCAGCTTTCATGGTGGGCGGTAGGGGTTTTGTCCCCTACTTTATAAATCACCGTTACTGTGGAACCGGTGGGCAGTTAGAGAAAACTTCACTACTAACAGAGATACAAAAGTGGGCGGTAGGTATAAAAAGCCTGGTCTAGGCTGTTTAGGTGGAGATGATTAAACCTGGTGTAGAATCAGGGTAAAGGTGTGAGCAAAAAGAATGCTGTTACTCCATTATGGAATTGCTAATATCAGTTAAAGGTGAATATGTGTGTTGAGGTGGTGAACCTAGGAAGTGAGATTATAAATATTTTTTCCATGTTTGTGGGTAGAATTGCACTATTGTAATGACACAGTGATTGTGGGCCACAATCACACTTCCAGCTGGGTGAGCTGCCTACTGGTTCTGCTTCATTAAACCAGATGCTAAATCTGACTCCAGAAGAATTTTTTTCAGCATGCTAACAGTTTGGAGATGTGTAGCATTTCATGTTTCAAATATGACAATAAGAATGAAACAACACAAGCTGAATTATGAGAATCAAATTAGATTGCTGGACAATGGGAAAAAGATTGCTTTGTTCACAGCTTGGCACCGAATAGCAATTCTGCTGCAGAAGCAGGACATCCAAGAAAAGGAATATCATAGGCAGAATACAAAGAATTGAAATTAACAAAAGGTTTAATAATTTGGGTTACTGCTGAAATCAAGCAACTGTGCAACTGTTCCAAATGACAGCAGCGCTTTTAGTAAAGAGTTAAGTGGGAAAGGGGACAAATAGAAAAATCAGCTTATGTATAAAATGCATTTAGCCATGCTTATAAAATCTGATTGCAATAATTCAGATAAATGCTAGATGGCAGCAGAAAGGGATCAATGATTGCAAATGTTTTGCCTTATGTCATGCTAGTATTATATCCAAATCAAAACTGAACAAAAGATCCCCACTGGTAACAGACTGTCACTGTCAAGTTTGGTCAATAAATAAATTATGAAAGTCTCTTTTCGATCCCCAAACATGTACAATTTGTCAGTTTGGTCCCCTTTGCCTTCAAGATTTGGCGTGGGTGAATTTCTGTTTTAGGGCTGGAGGACTTATATAGTAAGCAGGCTGAGTTCCCACATGCTTCAACAAAAGAAGGTGGGAGGCTGATTTCTGGTGTCTTTCAGTTCACAAAAGAAAGCTTACTTCTGAATGTTTTCCAAGGGTGGAGATAGAATCTGGATATGTCTTCCAGATGAAAATAACAAAGTGAAAGGGAAATTCTTTCTGGAATGTCTGTAGAATCCTATGGAACGGCAGTGTTTCGAACCAGTCCACCCATTTTGTTTCTTATATATAAGGACATAATTTCAGAATATAGGTCACAATTTAGGTGTTCTTAAGAAACCAGGATGAATTAATAATGGTCTTGATTCTTCAGACAATATATGTGACAAGTGCTTTGCTTGGGGAGGAGAGTGGGATTTATGCTATCCAGATGATGGCTAGTTGTGGTATTTCCAATGGCCAGAACTAGCCTTTTTTAAAAAAAACACCACATGCATTATTGAGTGTTAGAGGTTTTGGCAGATTGTTTATTAAGAATGTTCTGTAGGGTTGTTTCCCAGAAACAAGTGAACTAACAGCATTTGTACTTTTATGGAAAACTGTGAGGGGAGGGGAGCAGGATTAGGGGAGGGGTGGCATATGGTAGCAGAGAAATATGTGAAGGGAAAAGGGCAAAAAAGACGAAAAACAAATGACTTTACACTGAGGCATCAAACTTTGTGATCATCCTGTTTTTGTCTGAAGTTGGACTTTATAAGGACAAAAAGGCAAACAATGAATCCCCTGAAGCAGTCACAGTTTGAGCAAAGAGAGTAAACCTTCTTGACTGCTGTTGCTTTTCCTATACCCCAGAACTAACTGAGGCCTGTGCTGGTTTTCCTTTTTGTGGGCTTGTGGATACCTGGAAATTCTGAGAAGGTTAAAAAAAACACCACCTCTTTTGAAGGTGCAATTTAGTCAGGTTCTGTTGGCCAATTTGAAGGAGACTTATGTGTGTTATGTGAAATTATCCCTTAAATAATGACGGAATTCCAAGGAATATGTGAAGGCAAAAGGAAAAGAGTGACAGAAGATGAGTGGTTAGATAATGTCATCCATGCAATGGAAATTAATTTGGGCAAACTTCAGGAGACAGTAGAGGTCGTGGTGGGATTGGGGTGCTATAGTCCATTCGGACACAATTTAGCAACTGAACAACAAGAATCACAGATTTGATGTTCTAGAAGAAAAGGCCACCTAGCCTGTTTTAGGCACAATAGAGACGACTCTCACCTAGCAAATTCCATCATTCTCTCTTTTACACACATTCTCTTTGAGGCAAATTGGTTTTTAGCCATGGCTTGAGAGATTGTCATCTATATCTTGACTGAAGCTTCTTGATTTTTTTTTCCAGGTTTGGGAGATGCCTGGGGCCAGCCAAACAGGTTAGGCCCCTTGGATAACATTGCAAAGGAGCTGGGTTCACATTTACTTCAGGTAAAATCTTTGGGATCTCTTCTCTGGTAAACAATGGCCACTAAAGTCTTAAACAAGGTTTTTGCCATGTTTAGCATCTGATACATTGCAATAGAAAAAGGAGAATGGCAAGTTTTCTGCCACTGAACTGTGATAATTCCATTATTTTTCAAGCAACCTTTTTTAGCCTACACATCTGAAATACACATCTCAACAAAGGTAAAATATTTGCTTGAGAATGTGGAGCAACACTGTCAGTCAGAATGGAGTAATGTTTTGATAAGATAACTTTCAGCATTCAAAACAAACGTTCTGCCATTGAATTACACTCCTCTAAAATTGCTCCCAAATACCCACTTTTGGGATTGTAATGGAATATTATGAAAAATCACTTTAGCGCTTTATAGCAATTTTAATTTTTTAAGTTGATTTTATTTGAATTTATTAGACTTGGTATTTTAAACTAAAAAGTTACTTTATTTTTACTGATTATTTTTAAAATCCTATTTGTGAGGCCTCAAACAAGCATTCTGAAATAGATCAAAATAGTATTTTACAGCCATGTTTATAGTTTTCCATATTATATTTTTGGAAATTATAATTTCATACTTTAATAAAATTTCCTAGGTATTTTAACTTTATGTACAATTTTCCAAGAGTCCATTTTTTAAAGAATCTCCCATTTATAAATACTTTCATTTAAAAGACAAAGTCAGAAGAACATAAAAATTCCCTCAAGCTAAAATAAAATTTGTAAAATATGAAAAATTCTTCCAGCCAATTAATTAGGATTTTTATCTCTTGAGAATATCATAACAGAATTTGTGTGGAGAAATATTTTAAACTTTGTCAACTTGATACAGTTAATTTAATTCCTGCCTATGCAAAATTATCATACCTAAAAAGAGAATGATTTAGATGTGATTTTTATAACGAGTGTATAATAGACTTTATCGGGCCAATATGGGTAATGTTTTTTAATATATGTTCTGTAGGGGGAAATTAAAAACTTCTCACAAGGAACTTGACTGTAAATTGTAAGTGGTAAGCGTTTGCTCTATTTCTTTTTCTTTTACAGACTCTGGATGGGTTTGTTTTTGTGGTAGCGTCTGATGGCAAAATAATGTATATCTCAGAAACAGCTTCTGTTCATCTAGGTTTATCCCAGGTAGGAATAAGTTTCTGTCCCTCTGTTGAATGCTGATGTTGGAAAGCATCTAATATTATCTTGCCAGAAATATAGTCTCCTGCCTTGCTTGATTTTAGGTGTTTTTTTTTCTAAACAAGCAAAATTGTAGGAGGGCATTGCCAATCTTGTGCTATTGACAAGTAATTAAACAACTCAGTTACCAGCCACCAGCCGGAAAAAAGAACTTAACAGCCCTGGTTAAAATGGAGTATCCATTGTTAATTGGTAAGGTGCTTGTCTCTCATGTAAGCTGCATCTATATAACCAAACTTTCTCATCGTTCTCACATCCCCATTCCAATTTAAATCCTGCAGCAGTCTAGACCAGTGTTTATCAAACTTGGCCATTTTAAGACACGTGCTCCTCAGCCAACAAATTGCCAAGGTTGGGAAACATGCATCTGAAGAAATGAGCTGCCTTTTAATAAAATGCGTTAGTCAGCAAAAGTACTACCAGACTCCTTCTGTCTTTCTGCCATTGTAGGCCAATATGGCTGTTGTCCTAAAATGTCAGTCACTTTTATAGCTTACAGTTAGACATGCAATCCAACCAAAATCCTGTCTAACTGGAATCAGAGTATCCTTTAGTGAGATAAATGATATAAAGAGGGTAGCTGGAGCTATCTCATTTTTGCAGAAAATGAGGCATTGTATTTAAATTGCCTTCAGAAGTTGTGGCAGCTTCATCACTGGAAGCTTTCAAGAAGAGACTGGACTGCCATCTGTCAGAAATGGTGTAGGGTGTCTTGCTTGGTGGGGGGTTGGACTAGATGACCTACAAGGTCCCATCCAACTCTGCTAAGCTGTATCTGTATTTCTGTTCTGGAAATAAAGAGATAGCATCAATGCAACTACCTTCCATGTTTGAACCTCATACAAAGTCCAGGTTAAACTAACAAGGTAACAAGTATCCTTCTAATCTGAATATACCTGGATTTGGGATTGCAGAATGTTGTTGACGTGGTTCAATATATCTTGTGAAGTTGGCATAGTCACTGGTATAGAGAAACTACTTCATAGTTTTGTAATTTACATCTATTGCTGGGAGACTTGCAAACAACTTTTATGTTCTTTAGCACTAACAAATCAAAACTAAATGTAAGATAATGATGGTTGGCTGGATTCAGAGGTGAACAACTTAAGATCTATCAGGTGTGGTTTTCAATGATGCCAACTAACATAGTTAGTTGTAACAACTGGCAGATATAATTCATTAACAACAATTCGATGGACACTATTTTTCTAGAACAGAATGAATGGGGAGAGTTGCAGGTAAATGAACCATTGCATTTTTATATATAACAAGTTTTCTAGTAAAATACCAGTTTTAGTAAAACTGCAGAGTATACCCAATTTTCAAGCCATGTCTTATATCCAGAACTGTATGAGTATAACTAATTTGAAATGCTCAGTTCCTGCTAATTAGCTATAAAGAAGTATTAAAAAGCTGATATGCTTTTTAAACTAACTTTCCTTGTGAAGAATGGGAAAATAAAAATAATAGCTGTATGAAGAATGTTTGTAGAGATTCTTAACATTAAAAAAGAATATTACCAATGTAGATACATACCATAATCTTCAGGACATCTTTTGTGCAATTAGTTAGAACTGCCATAGTTAGACTTAAGCAGACAATATAGTTTTTAGTTAACAGCTGCTTTTGTTTTAAGTAACAGCAACTCACATTAGAAAAGATGTAGTAAATTATGTAAATCATACATATCACTTATAAGTATTTCTGAAGTATCATATTAAAAGATAAGAGAATTTTCAGTAATTCTGATTTTGTTAACTGTTTTTGTGGCAGGTAGAACTAACTGGCAATAGCATTTACGAATATATACATCCCTCAGATCATGATGAAATGACAGCTATTTTAACAGCTCACCAACCACTTCATCCCCATCTTTTACAAGGTATTTCATGAATTACTTAAATGTTTAAATAAAAAGACAGTAAAATAACAAGTTGACACTTGTGCTTTTATGCTAAAATCTTGGTATATAGCCAAGGTCTATACTGTAAAAGCATCTTTCTTCTTCTGCCAAAATTTGACAATATTTGCCTAAAACTGATACCGTTTGTTGCATGTATGGCTTTCCAAATTTACTTGAATACTTAACTGCAATTTTAGGATTATAAACTACAGGTATCCAATAATAAAGATTCTGTTCTATAGAACGATTATTTACAGGATATGAAATTATTAAAAGGGCCACAGAGAAAAATATATGAAAACACATAAAAGACGGAAGAGAGCAAGAAAGATTGATTTCATTCAATCATCTCAGGGATGAGTTTGTGGTCCTTAAAATGTAATTTCACAGAAGTGTGTGGAGAATCTTTTTTAATAGTCATGTGCAACCTGAGTGAATAAACACAATTCAATATTAAAAATAGCCAATGCCTCTTTTTTATATACCATGAAATATAACAGAATAGACCCTTTACATATATGTAGACATTTCATTTTAGAATTGTTTTTGAAGTCAGATACGTTGTCTTTGAATCTCTAAAAGCCAGAAAGAGATCATTGAAGAGATACACTTGATAAAAATAATTCATTTTAAAAATTATGTCAGTGACAGATGTGTTTTGTCACTCTATATTGCTATGCCTTTTTTGTTACTTGGGATTTTGTTTCAAACTGGATTTGTAAATAAATATCTGACTTTGGGATGGATATTTAAATTTCTTTCCTGGATTATATAGTCTTCAGATAAAACACAAACCTTCAATTTGATCTGTAGATTTGAATCAAGCTGACAAAAAGAGGCATGGATAGAAATATACCTGTTGTTATTCTAGCTTTATACCTGAATATAGCATGAAGTTTAAATAAGATTGGAACACTGCTACCTTATAACTTGGGCTTATAGCCAATGTACTGTATAAGTGTATCAAGAGGGAAGGAGAGGCAAAATTACCTAGGGCTATACCTTGCAGAAGCTATCCTTTTGAATCAACAGCATGGTATATATCTGGGGAGAAATTGTTATTTTAGAACTATCTATCTTTAGATGATAATTTTTATTTAATTTTTTTACCCTGTTCCTTAATAGTGTACTATGTTTGATTAAAATAACTATTGAAATACAAAACAAATTACAATTAAAAACCCCAGCACCTAACATACACAAGCACACAAATACACAGAGAGAATTGCCAAGAGAGAGGATCTGTTTCAAGAGGGAGACTTTTAACAGATGTAGGCACTTTTCTCATACCAAGCTTAAATGGTCCTCCATGAGAAATTAGTCCTTTTCTGAAGTTAGATGGATAATATGGGAGATTATAGCATTATTTTGCCATGATCTTTTTTCTGATGCCATTGGTATTTTTGTGTGTGTTATGAAATCATTTTATTTTGGGATAATTTATCATTTCTATTTTTAATCATATAATTGTATATTGCTGCTTGCTCATTCTGAGTAGGGAACATGGGAACCAAATGAGAGGACTATTTTTTACATGAGTACATGAGGTTCTCCCCAGGCTACAGTTAAAAGTCAAGATGATAGATACAATACAATTTGCCTATATTTTTTATGTGTGGTTACCCCGTGTAGATATATTTTCAAACTTTTCTCCATTCACATATTCAGTAGAACTTCAAATGGTCCTGGAAGACTTGCACGACACTTTAATGTACAGAATGCAAATAGTTTGAACTGATTTCTCTGTCTTAGTGCTCAAATTGTGTACATGGGGTCTTATTTTGAGGAGAAATCCTTTGACTCAAACAATCACAGTGAAATAGCCTATTTGTACACAATACCTAAAGTAGGGAAGGGAAGGGCTTGGGATAATCTTCCATTATACAGCGGCAGAGCTTTTAAATGTACAGAGCAGGATATACTTGATTTTATTTCAAGTTAAGCTTCTAAAATGTATCTCTCCATGATTTATTTGATAATTATATCGGCATTATATCCCAAGATAAAGATAAGGTATAATTGAAATTTTATATGTAGTTACAAGCATCAGTTCATAGCATTGGAACTATTTTAAAGCAAATTTTCATAGGATTATGCTTTGAATTATCCAGACAACTAAGAATATCTAGTTATTATTCCTTATGGAATGTGATACTTTCTACACTAACAAGAATATTTAAATTGGATGTGTATTTCCTGAAATATTTACAATCTCTTTCTCTTGCATATTCACGCATTATTAAAATTATAATTATAAGTGATTTTTAACATAAGGCCAATAATTAAATTTAATAGCATTTAATTTTGTTGAAATATTGGAATTCAAAATGTTAAAGTATCTTTAAAATAAAACAGTTATTTTATTATGATTTAAACACCCCCTCCCCCCCACACACAGAAAGTGACCAAGAGAGAAACTTAAGAAACTTAAATGTTTGTATTTTAATTATTTATATTTTTTCTCTAGAATATGAAATAGAGAGATCTTTTTTCCTGCGAATGAAGTGTGTCTTGGCCAAGCGAAATGCAGGATTAACAAGTAGTGGTTATAAGGTAAAACACAGTTTCATGCTGTCTTCAGAATAATTAATTTCATACGTTTATCTACAGCAATAAAGAAAGGGGAGACTGAGCTAAAACAGTTTGGGAAAATGATATACTGAAACAAAATCTACTGTGAAATTCTCCTCCATTCTGATTATAATTGGGGGATTAAGAAATGAGGTAAAATATTTCTGCAATCAGAAATTCTCCCTGTTCTCTTTCTTGGTGACATATAGGTTTTAGCCTCCTCGCTTTCAATTTTTCTTTCTTTCCACTTTTGTTTTCAGATCCTCACATTGGCTTTTTTCTTTGTTCAGTCTATATCTATCTGGAATTGTTTGTTTTTGGTACCTACTCCTTTGTTGGTAATTATTTGTTATTTACATCTTCACAAGATCTCCAATTGCTCCTTTTTTCTGACTTCTGCCATAGAATCCTACCTATCATTGCCTTGAACACATAGGCCGAGAAAGGCATTCAATTGCACTTAAGTTCTAATTTCCATTTGGACCAAGAATTCCAGCATGACATGGCTATTTTTCTCCAGTATTCTAGCTGTTTCCTCTATGAGGGACTATCCACTCGTAAGATGCTCCTGTCCTATGCTCATGCTGGTTTGGTTCTAAATTGGTTTTAAAAAAATCCTTGTGTGTGTGTAGATACAAATTCAAATACTTCAGTTTATTGTTTAGACTAATTAATAAAAATATAATATAAAAGTATTTGATGAAGTAATCAGGTAATAATATCCCCTTAGCAGCTGACCTAAATCTGATAGATTGGAACCTCTTAATTGAATGGCTTTAGCTATAAATGGGGCAGTCTTTCTTACTACCCTACACACATTCATATACAAAAGTTTAGATATAAAGTTAAAGCATCAAAATGGTAACATGTGAAGACATAGCAACAAGAGTTAACATAAACATTTTTCCTAGATCTTTCCTAGCTTTTGCTGCAGCTGCTGTTTTAGGAAGCCTTTTTCATAAGCACAGTTGTTTTCTGGCATGCAAAATATTTCAGGTTCAAAATGTGGCAAAAACATTTAGATTTGTTTTATTTTCCTAAACTACCTACTTCCTTGCTAGGCTTTCTTTACTTCCTTTGACTGGAAACAGAACAGAAATATAAATAACCCCTAGAGAAAGAAAAACACCCCCCCCCCAAAATAAACCATTCCTGCGACAATTCAAAGCATTTTTCATATCAAGGAAGTATTATGTATATCATGCTAATGGGAAAAACCTGCTGTACCAGCAGACTGTCATTCAGGAAAAGCTGGAGAAAATGTGATTGTTCCTGCCTTTGCAAAGTAGTCAAATTGCAAGGATTGGCCTGGAAGAAAGTTCTCAGAGCAGTCAAACCAGACAGCATTGCCTGAACCAACACTACTTAGAAAGTGGAAAGAGGAACATCTGCCTAATTAAGGAAAGGTGATGGGGAGGTATAAGGCAATGAGGTGTGTCCTTGCTCTCCAGAAATGGTTGCTAGTTCTTATTTTTCACAGGGCAACCCGACAGAATAAGCACTAATTTTTTTCTAACTGATTATTATCAAGTCCAGATTAGTTGATCCTTTTGTGCCTACCTCCAGGGGTGGGATTCAATTTTTTAACAACTGGTTCTATGGGCATGGCTAGGTGGGAGTGGCCATGTGACTGGGTGGGTGTGGCTTATTCCTTTTTTTGCACCCCCCATGTTTTTGTCTCCTGGGCCTCAGGGAGGCCTCCTGAGGGATGTTTTTGCTCCCAGAAGGCTTCCCTGGGGCCCAGGAAGGTAAAAATTGGAGCATGGGGGGGGGCACACAGCACCCCCCTGTGCTCCATTTTGGGGGCTCCTGAGCCTCAGGCAAGTCTCATGGGGGGCATTTTTGCTCCCAGGAAGCTTCCCTGGGACCCAGGAAGGCAAAAAACAGAGCATGGGGTGGGCGCAGCACACACCCTGCACACCTCTTTTTGCCTCCTGGTCTTCAGGGAAGCCTCCTGGGCAAAGCAGTAAGACAGCGAGGGGGATCCCAGCACAGCTGATCATCAGAGCAACTGATCATCAGGAGGGGGAAAAAAGAAATACCTTAAGGAGTGACTGGGTGGGGGAGAACGCAGTCAGCAATGTCTGGCATGCACGCAATGTTGTTCATGCGTGATAAGGACTGACTGGGAGGAGAGGGGAGGGGCAGGCGAAGAGGGATGGGGCCAGCCAGGGGCACGATTTGCTGGTTCTCCAAATTGCACAAAATGATAACAACTGATTCTATAGAACCGGTCCGAACCAGTAGAATCCCAACCCTCCCTCCCTCCCTGTAGGTGAAAGTTTTCAGTACGATACTTCTGGAACACCAGGATGAAAACCATCATCACTATCATTTCATACCTCTTTGCTCTTTGAAAGAATGCCATTTGTTTTTGGAAAGCATTATTTGCGATTTCTCCTTGATTGGTCAGGTAATGGTGGACACTAACAACATTGCTATTATTCTTCCAAAGCTGATTTATTTAATTTAGTTGTTCTCTGAAGTATTATCAAGTTCATTTACTTGGATTCCTAAGCAAGTATTAATATTTTTGACATATGGCGCAATTCTATTACATGTACTATTAAGGAAAATAGTTTTCCAATTCAATCATGAAAATAATCTCACCATATTTCTGTTATACCTATTGAATAATATGTGTCTTCCTGTACTTAAAGCACATTTTTTCTTATTTCCTGTATTCTGAATTATAAATAATGAAGGCCATGAAATTTATTTGAGTTATGATGTAATAAAATTATCATAGTAACATTTCCATATCCTTCAATATTGCACAAATCTTTACCATTCTTAATGTATGTTTCACAATATACATTATGAAACATCTTGACAATGTGTTACTTTTTATAAAAAAAAACTTTATTAAGTTTGCATGTGCCTCTCCATTTTGTATTAAAACATATAGTAAGTAATACAATCCAGAAACCGTGAACATACATTTGTCTTTATTAGCAATAAAATAAATTGGAATTTGAATATCAAAAGGATAT